TAATAATAATAAAAAATAGAAAACAAAATAATTATATTAAAACAAGCCAGATAATGTTTATGTATTACATTAAGCAACATTTTGTAGAAACTCTTTTGTTTCATTATATTTATACATTATCAGATGCAGCATATTTATAAAAATGAAGACTAAAGGAGGTTCCACATATTTGATATTTGCTGATTCTCAAATAATTTCCTATTTGTACCCTTAGATTTGACACAATATACCGATAAGGAGTGGGAAACAAGGAATACCAAATATCAGTCACTAGTAAATTATCTACACTACTTAGTATTGGCTAAATGTTTGTGATCAGCTTTTGGCAAATATTAAATCTGTAGGACCACCTTAAGAAATTCATTTATAAAATTATAAATTAATTGTTATTAGACACCATAATATTGTCAAATAATTACTTTCAAATTTCAAAGCTCTACATATGAAGTATTGTAATCAGAATCAGCCCAAAAATTTGTGATATCACCCTACAGATATTTATTTCTACTTCAAATGTTCTGAGAATATATATTTCTGCTCCTATAAAGTTTATAATAAACTAATTTCTAATGTTAATATAGTAGCAAATAATTTATAGAAGCTTACTGTTGAAATAATTAAAAAATTTTTTGTAAATTTATAAAAATACTCTATCAAGTTGCCTGTGCAATTATTCCTGAATCAATCTAGTAAAAAATTATGCCCACAAAAAATTTAAATTGCTCTCAAAACAGTGTAAAAATTCTTACCAAAGAAAAACAAAAATGTTTTCATATTTTTAATTTATCTTTGCAGAACAGTCAAGAAGCAATATATTGTACATTGAAATGCATCATTCAACATTCGTTTAATTAATTTTTGTTTTGAAGTATGCATCCAAAATATAATTAAATATAAATTAAACATAAAAACAATCTGAAAATAAATCCAAAATTTTTTTAGCCTTCAACATTTCCATAATCTTAGTCCATCTTCACAAGTTACATTAAAAATTACAAATGTTATAGACCTTAAATATTTGTAAAATTATTGAGATAATTTTCATATATTAAAAATTTCAACTTTTTTTTGTCATGTTCAATAATTGTACTCTATGCAATTTCTATTATTTTCCATCAACTTTTTAAATTTTAATTTTAATTTAGTTTAAACATTAAAAAAGATTTATCTTAATTTATAAACAACATAATAGAATAACAACCTCCAGTTCAGCAACTATTATTCTATTCTATTTTCTTATAATTTAAAACTGGATGTTGGTAAATCTGAATGATTTTAAAATATTTCTGGTGTTAAAAATATCAACTTCTTTACAGATATTTCTGAATATGGATAACTTTAAAGTCTTATAAATGTCTAATAGTCATAAAATAATATGAAAAAGCTATACACTTATACAAATACCACACATGAAATTACCTTTATATTTACCTAGCATATAGAGAATGTTAAGAAATAGTATTTAAATCATTTTTCTTTTTTACCTATTTTCTCTGATTAATTAATCTGGTTATTTAGAGAAATCAAGACAAGAAGCTTAAAGAGAAACAACTATAACTGGCCTCACCATTGTTTGTTTCATTTGTATTTACTTTTATTGTTTATTTTATTATTTATTTATTAATCTTTTACCAAACATTAATAATAAAATCACTTTATTCCAGTAAAAAGTACTCAATTCTTTTTTATAAAAAGCAATACAAAGTTTAAGAATGATCTAATAATTGGAATAATAATATGACAATCATTAAAGAAAGCACAACAAAACCCTATAAGGCTAATTAAAGTATTTTCTCTTGATGTTTATCATTGATTTTGTTTCCTCAGTGAATTTTAATTATTGTTTATGCAATTGTCTAACAAGTTTAATCCATCAATATAAAGACCTTTACCTGCATTATATATATTATTAATTATATAGTAAATAACCTGTTTTCAGATATTAAATTAAAAATAAGATAATAAAGCAATTAAAGTTTAAGCACTTTTATTGATTTTAATGTCAATGTCTTCAGGAACATAGTTGCTTAATTAAATTTTTATTTTAAATGTTTGTTCTTTAACAGTTGTATTCCTGAAGATATTGGCATTAAAATCAATGAAATTACTTAAATTTAACTAACTTCATTACTTTATTTTTCAGGCTTTAAAATTAGAAACAAGTTAGGTATTAAGTTTTACACTATTTATTACATCAATATGTTCAGATTAATTTTATATCAATATAAAATTCTAAAATATCTCATGTGAAACTGCAAGATCTCATTTGTTAATCACTACAGTCAATCTATCAAAAGTATTTGCAGAAAAATATCCTAAATTTATAAAGTATGTTTATCAGATTAATTTTACAATTTAATACATTCACCCCAAGATTTTTGAACAAAAAATACTTTATTTACAAAAGTATGTTTTATAAAATTACTATAGAAAAATCCATACTATTTTCTTTACTACCTGCAGCTGTGGAACAGCTGTCGCTGCTGGTGGTAATGAAACCGAACCCGGCGGAGGTGGTCTTACTCCTTCAATTGTCATCTCTCTCATCATTAAAGAGTATCTCAAATAAGGCAGATTTTTCTGAATGTAAAAACAAATAATAATAAATCAGTACTCATGACAATTTTTAATTTCATTCTAATAAATTATTTGTTAAAAAAATCAAATTACCTTTAAAAAGGGGACTAAACAAGGTTGAGGTGAAGAATTTAAAGCTTTTTGTAACTGATTAGTAAATTCTTCTGGCTGAATATCACCATCCTTTTAAAGAAAACAAAATAATTATATTAAAACAAGCCAGATAATGTTTATGTATTACATTAAGCAACATTTTGTAGAAACTCTTTTGTTTCATTATATTTATACATTATCAGATGCAGCATATTTATAAAAATGAAGACTAAAGGAGGTTCCACATATTTGATATTTGCTGATTCTCAAATAATTTCCTATTTGTACCCTTAGATTTGACACAATATACCGATAAGGAGTGGGAAACAAGGAATACCAAATATCAGTCACTAGTAAATTATCTACACTACTTAGTATTGGCTAAATGTTTGTGATCAGCTTTTGGCAAATATTAAATCTGTAGGACCACCTTAAGAAATTCATTTATAAAATTATAAATTAATTGTTATTAGACACCATAATATTGTCAAATAATTACTTTCAAATTTCAAAGCTCTACATATGAAGTATTGTAATCAGAATCAGCCCAAAAATTTGTGATATCACCCTACAGATATTTATTTCTACTTCAAATGTTCTGAGAATATATATTTCTGCTCCTATAAAGTTTATAATAAACTAATTTCTAATGTTAATATAGTAGCAAATAATTTATAGAAGCTTACTGTTGAAATAATTAAAAAATTTTTTGTAAATTTATAAAAATACTCTATCAAGTTGCCTGTGCAATTATTCCTGAATCAATCTAGTAAAAAATTATGCCCACAAAAAATTTAAATTGCTCTCAAAACAGTGTAAAAATTCTTACCAAAGAAAAACAAAAATGTTTTCATATTTTTAATTTATCTTTGCAGAACAGTCAAGAAGCAATATATTGTACATTGAAATGCATCATTCAACATTCGTTTAATTAATTTTTGTTTTGAAGTATGCATCCAAAATATAATTAAATATAAATTAAACATAAAAACAATCTGAAAATAAATCCAAAATTTTTTTAGCCTTCAACATTTCCATAATCTTAGTCCTACAATTTTAAATTTATGTAAATATTCTTTTACTTAATGTACTATTTTACACAAGCTTTATAATCAAACTATGGGTTTTAGAAGTTAAAAAAAAAATCTGTTTGAAATTTTATGATGTGATTGTTATATTCTTCTACTGTCAAGTGCTTATGGANATTTATACAATTTTAAATTTATGTAAATATTCTTTTACTTAATGTACTATTTTACACAAGCTTTATAATCAAACTATGGGTTTTAGAAGTTAAAAAAAAAATCTGTTTGAAATTTTATGATGTGATTGTTATATTCTTCTACTGTCAAGTGCTTATGGAAAATAAAAAGAAAAATGCAGCTAAATGGGCGTTAAGGAATTAAAATACTTACAGTTACAATACGTTGTTGAGTAATTATATTTTGTGGAGTTCCAGGCTGTGCAAATTGGGCAAATGAAGTACCGGCCATTGGTGCCATAACTCGCACCTGAGCCGTTGCCTGTTGGACTGCTGGTCGAGAATGAGCAATCTAACAAAAAAAAATAATAATATATTAATATAAACTAAATAAATTTGAATATAAAATGTGCAAATCAAGTCTTAACTGTAATTAATCCTATAATTAATCTGATAACAAAAATATTTCATTAATAAATGAAAACATCAAATATGTACAATAATTAAATACAGAGAATTACAGATGTGCAAAGAAGAATTTACAGATTCACATCAATAAATTTAACAAAACATAAAAGACCATTTGTGAATAATAAAAAAAAAAGTGTGAAATTAAAAATAAAATGCATAAAAATTTATTTGAATATTAAAAATCTATAAATCAAATCAATAAGTAAATTCACAAATATTTCACAGAATGAGCAGTGATACTGAAATGAAAAAATATATTAATTAGCAGTTTCTTACAAATTTTAATAAATTCAATAATTTAGAAGTTTCTGGATGAAAAGGGTGACCTAGAGTTTGGGTTGAATCTACATTCCACATACTGTATTTTATCTGGACATGTGTCCAAACTTTGCTTCCAGGCCTAAATTAAATCCATACAACCATTTAATCAAAATTTATTTCTGATTATTAAACTTTTAACAGTAGATGACAGCTTAACCACCTACCTTTAGGCCATATTATCCAACAATTAAGTATTTGTATAATCAATATGTAAATCTTGTTTATGTAAATCTAAAATGTTGAAATTGTCAAAAAGTTTTTATTACTATTCTTCTATACCAAAGGCAGAAAGTATGAATTAAATATATTGATTTTAATAATATGGTCAGCTAATTTCTTTCTCCAGTTTCCTCAAACATGTACCGTTATCTACTTTCTTAGATATCAAGAGTTTAACTCAAGGTTTTCATCTTGATCTCTAAAAAAGCAAATTGCTGTACATATTTAATAATATGATAATGTAATATAACATCAGATCTTTTGAAATACAATTAATTTCATAAAATATTTCTACAGATCACTTCGTGACATATTGAGGCAAGTATATATTAGAAAGAAGTTGATCCGGTTATGTAAATAGCTAAACAGCATAATTTTTTATACTTTTGAAGAACTTTAACTACTGTATTTTTTACCTTTTAAGACACTTTTCTGTAGCTAAAATTTATCTGAAAATTGGGATGCATCTTATACTGTGAAGAATCTTTTTCCTCCGAAAAACTGACATGAAAAATGTAATGCATCGATACAGTGGTGAATCTTATAAGTCAAATTTGTTGACTAGACTGATCATTAATGATTCATTTTCTGATTTTTCTAGAGAAAATTTCACAGAATTGCTAAAGTCCCAGATAACAATGTGCCAAAATTGATCAGTGAAGCAACATTTCAAATCCAGTAACCTCAAATTTTTTACCATGATTAAATAATATACAGAAATATGATATTTAACTTAATTCATATTCCTCTTAACTTTCATTATAACTGTATTCAATTTAGTTGATATAGTTTTAATTAAAAGAATTTTCTTCTATCAAAGTTTCATTCATATTAGTCATAAAAATAGATTGAATTAGTTCAATATCTTTTATCAAACATTCTTGCTCAGGTTTACACATAAAAACAATTTCTTTCACTTAATTAAATCTATTTTCAATCAAATTTAAGAACTACACAAAAATTCTGACTTAAATTTAATAAAATCATTTAATTAAATGCAACTAGAAAATTATAAGACATTTATCATGACTACGGTGACCATATTTTTTGGGGGAAAATAAAGGACATATCGAAGAAAATTAAAAAATCTTATAAAATTCATAAGTTTATAACATTTATTACACATACATACACATTGTAAAAATTCAAATAACATTAATTTTGATACTTTTCAGTAGAATTAATTTTTTTTAATAGCACTGGTTCACGCTTTAAAAAGTCATAAAATTCTATACAGTTCATTTGAAAGTTGTATTTGACAGAAATAATGTGCTTACTTTTAACTGGGTTTTTTCATTCGTCCACATATTATTCACCAATGAAAATATTCGTTCGACGATGCATTAGATCCAGGGAGACAAAGAAAATTCTACGATTTTACAAATGTTTTTGAAAGCAATTTTTTGCTGTAAAATGTTCAAAAATCTCAACCCACTTTTGATGGCAGGGCTTGTTATTCTGTCGCCATTCGTCGATCTTTTCGTTTGTGACATATTTTTTTACACA